GTTTTTTTTTTCTTGCAACATCGAAGCGGGTGCGCCAGGCAAACAGGAGAGAATTTGTCCCGACGACAGTACACAAATAAGCAAATAAGTGAGGTGCAGAAGAAAATGAAGAACCAAAGAGCGCCCCAAGACAACAAAAAGAAAACTCAACTCTGCCCACGCCCATGCTGGAACTTCACTCAACAGTACAGTAATAGTGTCGATCCATTTCGTTCTTTGTTGGCCCCGTAAGCGTGGGCGCTACACCATAAATCGAACACAACCTCATTAGTGCCGGTACCGGCACTAATGAGGGATTGGCCAGCCCTCAATAGTGCCGTTTTGGCACTATTCGCAATAGTACCGGGTGCCCGATTTAGTGTCGGTGAACGGTCTGTGCACGTACCGGCACTAAAAGGGTCCCTCGACTGTATCTGACTCAAGAAACAACAACAACCACATTGCGTGCGCCAAGAGCACCATTCGTACCAACTATCTTTTTTTTTTTCCATACATCGACTCATTGGGAGAGACCGTCTCATCCTATTCGTCCTTTTCGATTTTTTATGTTCCATGTCTGAAAACCGTAACTATAATTGACAGAAACGAGGACTTCCCCACTCGCACATCACCTTCCAAGTATCAGAGGAACACAAACCAGACAACGCGGAATGCATTGACAAGCACATTCGGGCTGCGTGGCCACACCGAGAAGAACCAGAGCTAGCTGTACGCCATCGTTGAAAAGTTCATGACACACAAGAACTGCAAAAGTCAGCGCCGGCTATGCTACGTGGAGGGAAAGAAACAATGCCAAAAGAGGTTTTCGAAGCCACCTCAGCTGTCCACCACTTTCGACGCGAGAGGCTATCCTCTGTAACGACGATCCAATGCCGACAGCGACATCGTCCCGTACAACGATGAATTGTTGTTGCTGTTTGACGCACACATCAATACCGAAGTCTCAGCGACCGTCAACACCATCATTGAGATGAAGAATGCGAACGGTCACGAGACGGAACATCGACATCTCAATGACAACGCTTGAAGGGCTAAAGCTACGAAGAATATATATTGCGGCAGAGCACGCTATCATCCTGAACAGACGACTACAGGGAAAAAAAAAACAATATCCAGACGCCACACATCACTCTTTTACGCGCACCCGCGCGTATCACCGCTGGAGGAATGAGGGTGACTACCCGAGCGAGTCCAAAATACGGTGACGAAACTCAAAACCCCAAACAAATTTCCGAACGAATACGGCCTTTGATACTGGACGCGACGCAAAAGGAAAACTCAACGCAATCTAGGACGTTAACGAAGGGCAGGAGAAAAGAGCGACAGGCAAAGGCACGGAGCTCGATGGCCAGCGTGCCAGGGTACCCAACCCGTATAAGGAGACGGCAGGGGCAAGACCTGATGAGGACCAAGGATGCAAAGCACAAGCGATTGATGCAAGAGAGGCGATCGACGAACTGCGCCATGGCTCGCTGGCGATACGCACCATTCAAAGACATAAAACACAGGAAGTCGTAGAGATTCACACAACATGACGTTGACTCAAGGGCGCTACTGTGATGAAGGTGTCGCCCGAAAGTGGCGATGATGGAGACGAAGCAGAACGAAGTGTGGGTGACGACGAAAATCCATGGGAGAAGGCGACGCCACGGGATGGAATCCCGAAGCACCAAGCGTATGCGAAATTAAGACATTAGTTGGCGAACAGGCGAACCAGGAAAACGCGGGGGACTCGGTGTCCAAGTGTCCCGAGGCAAACATGACCGACGAAACTTGGGGAACTCTTTTTCCGAGTGTTCAGAGGCAGACGACACCGACGACACTGCGGAGGGAGCTTGTTGAGAGAACCAAAGACCAACAACAACAACAAAATTGAGCAAAGGCGAGAGAAAACGGACATCCAGGTCGCGGCAGTTCACTGATTCCGATGAATGCAGGCAACAAGGACGAAGGATCACTCGACACTGCGTGTCTTGAGGCGGCGTTGCCCCAGCGTCCAAAACAAAATGAGCCAACGAAAGAAAAGAGACAAGACAGAAAAACAAAACAAAACAAAATAAAACAAAACGGAAGGTAACAGAAAAAAAAACAAAAGCAAAACGTCGGCGAGAAGGATGGCACAAAAGACCAAAATAGGCCGATTAGTATGTGAAAACGACGACGCTAAGAAGAAATGGTGGAAACAGCCAACGGTAAGGAGTCAGCAAGGAGCGGAGTGCGACCACGGTTGTCGCCCAGAGGGCACGAACGATGTTTTCCTAAACACCATGATCCTCAGATGGCGTCCAAGGCGGTGGAGTAGAGATGCGCAGGCAGAGGCAGAACGCTTGGGCCCGGGTCATCCAAAAATCGAACGATGTACAAGCCGCCCTGATGAGCACCAATACGTCCGGTCCACCACAATCCATCACGGGCCTTGGACCACAGCCGCGAGCCAACAGGGAGGGGCGAAGTGCTGAAACGGCGAAGTCAAGTCGCATTAAGCACAAGATCAGCCCCAGGAGGCAAATAGCGTTCTCCACGATTCCAGGCTAGCTCCCGCTGTGCCGCGCGAGTCCGAGCCACTCGATATGTACGGTTACCCTGCTTGCTCTGGCAGGCCTCCCGGGACCAGCACAAGAGGATGTGTCGACGGAATAGATCAAGGTCGGATTCCCGTTCCCATAAAGGAGTAGTCAGGCCTACCCAATGCGTCTGGTACAGGACAGCGAGAACGCCGCTACGGCCCCGCACCAGTTGATGTCCCGAGATGTAGTCGACCTCGAGGCGCCCGACAGGCACCGACACATCATCCACGGTGACGTGGAAAGGTGGACATTTATCTCCAAAAGAGCGCAGAACATAACGCGAAAGCTCGGCGGGCAGAGATTGCGGCAAGTCGTCCGTCTCGTACGGATTGCGACAGGGCTTGCAACGAAGGACAGACACGCGACAACGAGCTGCCGGGTCGGAAAGATCGGAAGGCAGGTCCAGGTAGAGGAGTTTACGCGCCAACGGGCGGCCGTCCGGAGTGGCGTCGGCAGAGGTAGGACCCACCGCAAGAACTTTGTACGGCCCCGTCCAGGAAAGTGCGAATTTGGCCTTGAGCACCTGTTGGTCCGTGTCCTTCTGCACACCCTGTCGAATTGTAGCAGCCGTGTTGTACACCCAAGCCCACCCGCCAACGGTAAACTGAGGGAGCTTGTGAATGGCGTCCAGCAGGGATGAATCCCGGCATTCGACTCGCGAAATCTTCAGTGCGTTGTACTCACGGACAAGTTCATAAGTCTGGCGCTGGCGATCGGCAGCCAGGTTGCAATACTCGAGTTGATCGCGGGCCAAGCTTTGATGACCACCCACCGTGGGAAGATCGAAGACCGAAAGCGGGAGTCGCGGGATGCGTCCGATGTGAATCTCGTTTGGCGCTAATCCAGTAGACTGATTCACGGAATTGTTGTAGGCAACTCAACGTGTGGGAGATGTATGTCCCAATCGTTTTGCTGTTCGTTGACAACCACCGCAAGCATCTGGGCCATCGTGTGGTTGACGCGTTCCGTGCCGCCGTTGGTCTGTGGGTGGTAGGAGCTGGTGGTGACCTTCTTGATCTTCATCACCTCGTAGATCGCCATGGAGAGCTTCGAGCAGAAATGCAGTCGGTTGTCCGACAATAACGTAGTCGGACATCCCCACTTGGTCATGTATTGGTTGACGAAGATGTGAGCCGTCCCTCTCGCCGTAAATTCCGCCGCTGTAACTGCGAACATGTCGGCTCTCCGACTGAAACGGTCTGTGAACAACAAAATGTAGAACTTGCCCTTGGCAGTCACTGGCGAGGTCCGAAGAAGTCGACGCCGACGACGGTACCAGGCCCCTGCGGCAATGGCATAGCGATGACGGGCCACCGAGCAGTCTGACGTGAAGTCTTGCGAGCTTGACACACCAAACACGCCCGAAGCCACCAGCGCACGGAACGATCCAAACCAATCCACCAGTAGAAGCGCTCGAGCAGACGCTGTGTACGATG